TTAATTAATTTAATCAAATCTTATATGGTAAGGTAAATTTGTTCTATGTTTTAATTGCACTCTTTTATAATTACTCAAAGTTTATAGTCTTTTATGACTTTATCTATTTAATAACAGTTAATAACAAAAAACTTTACTATAAAAATTTAAAGATAACAAAATAGAATGTGCGGGATTTTGTAGACCTCACCTCATTAGCTGAAAGAGTTAAATTAACAATAAAAGTACATACGCAAAAAATGTAATTTTTATTAAAATTAAATTATTTTATTAAATCATATTATCAAAAAATTATATTATTGTGTTAATTACAACACATATAGACAAAATGTAAGACGTTTATTATAATCGAAAAAGTGGTATAGTGTCTAAAGCAATAGATTGATAATCCAGAGGTGCCTCAAGAGAGTTCAAGTTCGAATCCCACTAGTGCCAGTGAGAATTTTTAAATGTGATATAACATTTGAATCAAGTAATCTAAAATTTTTCAAGTGAAATCAGTAAACGCAGTGATATTTACGAAAATATACTCTTACGAATTCTTAAAGAATTATCGTTCATGATAGAAGAATACTTCTGGAATTCATTGTGCTATCTGTGTATGAAATAGAAAAACTTGCTGCCAATTTGATGTAAATTTTTGTTACCAAGCTTTGTTCGGTATTTGGCGTCAAATTGCGTCGCGTAGGCCCTGCTCAATTGTGGTGTCAAACTGCGGCGTGCAAGTCTTGCTTGGAATTGGCGTTAATTTGACATAAAATTGCCGCGCAGATCTTGCTCGGATTTTGGCGTCAGGTTGGCGTCAGGTTGGCGTCAGGTTGGCGTCAGGTTGGCGTCAGGTTATGTACGCAAACTTTGTCAGCAAATCACGAGCTTATTGCGGACACAGATGATACCGGATTTGTCGACAAGGTTTGAACGGATTTGGTACCAATTTGGTGTCAATTTGCTGCTAAATTGTTTGCTGGGTACCATATTTCGATATTTTTAAGGACACTGTCTTATCAAATCTGTTGTTTTCAATTTTGCAAATTTGATCCTAAGTTTATATTTAGCAACCCCAACAATCTGTATATAATTTATTTTGATGCAACATTAATTTTATTTAATATTAAAGAGAAAGAGAATACAATGAAATAAAAGTAAAATTACTTAATAATTAATAATAATTAATAATTATATAAAATAAAAATATAATACAAAAATAAAACAAAATATTTTATTTCATATTATAGAATCTTATTAAATTATGTTGACATCTATTATTTTGAATTTTAATTTTATCTTAAGAAATTTCCAATGCTATGTTGTAAAAAAAATTACAAATAAATTTATATAAAATTATTGAAATCAATTAAATATTAGTTAAATTCAGTTAAATATATTTAGTTTAATATCAGTTAAATATCAGTTATATATTCAGTCTAACTCAGACATTCAGCTGCGTCTCGAACTGCATAAAAATAGTATTCAAACTGTTTTGAGACTAAATATATTTAATAACAGCACCATGTTGCTTGATTTGAGAGTAATTCATAATTTATATATTTTTCAGTAACAAAAACAAGTTTAAAAGATATTGCATTTAAAAACCAATATAAAAAATAGACCATTTCCATTTATCTAAATGTTCTCCCTTAATAAAGTAATTATAGGAAAATGTGTCATCTTGATATCACATTATTTTATACATGTAACAGTATGTTTACATTATTCATAAGAGTTATACATCAAAATAAGTACTCTATATCAATTGGAATGTAAACAGTCTTTCTTAAATGTGATGAGTGAAAATAAAAAAAACATTAATATTAAATACACGATACTAAATATAACAAAATAAATTGACGAATCTCAATAAGTAATATACTGTACTGGAAAACTAAATTATGTATGTACACAAAGGTTCTTATTCTGAACTCTATTTTATCAATAAAAATCCCTCTAAATGTACTTATGAATTAATCGGCAGGTTTATAAGACACATTTAAGGACACTTTTATCAATAAAATAATATTCAGAGTAATGGCCAATGTATTCAGACTTAAGTGCAACAATATGTGCAGATAAAACTCACCAAACTCTTTAGATTGTTATAGAGTTCATTCTAATACATCATTCATGTCTCACTTTTCTTTAATAAATATCTCAATAATTATTGTGGTTTGTAAAATGATAAAGAACTTTTTTGTTTAGTTTGACAATTTGTACACGATATACACATTGTGTTAGTAAAATTCCTGTAAGTTTATATATGCACACAAATGCATACATATATAAAATTACATTAAATATGTAAACGTAATAAGGTTTTTTATATTAAAAAATAATTAGCTTAACAGATAAGTTTTTTTTGATAATAGTAGAAGTAGCTCTAAAATACTTTAAATTTTTAATTTTTAATTATTTTGTAATAAAATTTGTATCTAAATTTTCAGTAAAAATAGAAAAAAGAGAAATCAATCTTGTTAAAATTTGTTTCTTCATTAATCATGTTAAATTATAATGTCAGAAACGAGAAATCAAACTTTTCTCTTGCAGTATATGTTGAAATAAATAAGTTTATATATATATATATATATATATATATATATATATATATATATATATATATAT